GACTTGAGAAAGATTGCATCTAGGGAAACTGGCTAAATATGAATGTCTCAACTTTCCATCCAATAGACAGCCAAGAAGGATGAAGAGTTTGGCCTTCATTAGCAATCAACTGTGAAATTTCTCAGCGTTTTTTTCTTCCCATGTTCATGCGGTTTTAATATATGGTAGAAATGGAATTAGTTGGGTGACTACACAGTTAAATAAAGCACAGAAATATTATTGTAGCCTTTTTGAAAAGTGAATAAACTCTAGTCTAGACAGCTTACATTCTGCTTATTACATGCTTAAGACAGTAAAAAGTGCTGACTCAGATGGAAAAAATGCAGTGGGATCCTGAAACGAACTTATCTTGTCAGGAGTCAATGATGTAACTATTCCATTACAATATTTATAAGTGGAGAGCTGGTGAATGTCTGTATAGTACATTTTCTCTCTTTTTTTTTCTCACTCTCCCATCATATTGGCTGTGTTTGTGCAATAACTGCATTCAGTTAGGATAATGACGGTGAGGACAATCAACCAGTGGAACAGCTTGCCACCAGAAATCAGGGGCGCTCCATCACTGGAGATTTTCAAGAAGAGACTGGACATTCACCTGTCTGGGATGGTATAGGTTCTCCTGCTTGAGCGGGGGGCTGGACTAGAAGACCTCCAAGGCCTCTTCCAATTCTAGTCTATTCATATCCATGGTTTATCAAAATTTGCGCCTGCTATATTGAATCAGACTCTTAACCACATAGACAGATCTAGTTAAACTTGCTAAAGCTAAAATTCCTGGCTAATTTTACTTTGGGAAATCACACAATGCAGCCATTTTCTACCTTTTTCCTTCACATTCCCCTTCTCTCATTCACACCTTATATTTTTCATGCACATATGCAGTGACATATATATATATTGTCCACATATATAGTTCATGAACCAGTTTTATCCGGACAAAACAAAGCTTTAACACTTGACAATAACACAATAATGCTATCAATAAGTCCATTTGATTGCATACTTTTTTGTTCTTTAGTCAGTTCCATGTACTCATTTCTCTCTTAGACTTCTCATACCATTTTAGCATCAAGGTAGTCCTGACTTTCTTCCTGAAGCTGAATCTCTTATAGCTATGCTAATAGTTACATATTGTGTCTCTCTCTGTGTTTGTGAAAGAGAGACAGAAGACAAATACAAGCTTATCATTCTTTTGTGGTCAGGTTAAATGTCATCATGACATTGTTTTAAGGTAAAATTTTGTTTTATTTGGTTTACTTGATTGACCTTAGTCCTTTGCTGGCCACACACTGCACAGTTGTGTACTTTTCCTCTGCCCTTCTGAGTTTAGTGTTAACTTTGAAATTGAACAAGGATTAGAAGCTTCCATTTCTAATCTAAAGACTGTGATTAGTATGGTTAGTTCTGAGGAGAAGTACGTGGGCATTCTCAGTTGCTCAATAACATTAATAACAAATTGGCATTTTTTTGTACCCAGTTGTTTGTTTTCAGCTCAAACAAAGCTTGGATAAAGATATAAGTAGAAGTCTTTAGTTTTGCCACTTGATACGATCCTATTTCAGATTGCAGTAAGAACTAATGTATATCTCTTTCTGTGCTTCTGGTTTCTAGTGTGTTGCTTTCTTATAATAGATTGAAGTTATTTATATAACTGATCTGGTATGTGTGTGAAATATTCCACAGCAGCCTAACAAACCGTGTCCACTGTCTACCTCACACTTGATCAGTAATCTAGAATGGCAAATGGCTCCAAATGAACCCTTGAGTAAATACTCAGCAAAACTATTGGCATCCTTTGATTATTACCAGGGAAGAACATTATAGAATCATAGAATCTAGAAGGGACATTGGAGGTCTTCTAGTCCTGGAGGAGTGGAAGAACATTCCAGAAAAAGACAGTTATAAACTTCTTCTAACCTGCTGCAAAAGAACTCCTTGACACAACATTTTCCAAATGTTCAGAACAGGATGGGAAAGAAAGAAAGTTACCAACTTGCTAATGGACAAAGTTACTAATTTTTACATAAAACTTTTTCTTAGCCTAGAAACAAACACTGACGGTTTCTCCAACCTTGCTGTGGATTGAATTTGTTTAGAAGACCCGTGTTCTCTCGGAAGTAATGTAAGTAGAGTGTCAGTTTTCTTTCTAATTGGAGCCTGTTCTTATTCATCTATTAATTATTCGTATAACTCGGCAGCCTTGGTTTTGCAGAATACATAAATGTAATATATTGTGCTTTCAAATTTGGGGAAATAGTGAAGAAAACTGGGTGCTTTAAAATAAAATTTGAGACTGTGTCTGGGAGCTGCTTCTTATCAATCCAAATGAATTTGGAGCTGATTCTATGAATTACTGTGTTCCTGCGTAATTTTTTCAGAAACTCTTAAGCGCTTTAATCTATACTTTATGTTATGTGTTATGTCAAGCACTCATTGTAATATTAACATTTTTATGTGTATGTTCTTCGTGTGGAAACTATTCTGGAGTGTTGAATAAAATGGGGAAAAAAATATCAAAATAGCATTACGGAGATACTGTAGGAGAAGGAAAGGCAGATCCTGGGGCTAGAGTCAAGAGAGGAATCACCCTGGAGTACTTACGTTCCCACAAACGGTCTAAGTCTTGAATTCTGTTAACTCTTACCTAGTGCCAATTTAGTGCTGACTTTTAGTTGACTATATTCTTTTTTTTTTTATTAAGAATTTTATAAAATTTTACAATATAAATCCCCCCTTCCCCTTCCCACCCTTCCACCCCCCCTCCCTCCCCCTCACTTCCCAGTGCCAATCACAGGGTTAACAATAACATAATCATACTCTAATTAACATTAATCAACTATTAAAATAACATATCTATAACCTCCTTTAACTCTCTTTTAAACAGTACAATTATTAAAAACAATAATAACAACACTTTAATAATTAAAAATAATACCAAATAAAATATTCTAACCTTTATACAACCATAATACTCTAAAATTTACTCAAAAACCAAATGATATTTTTTAGTCCCATATTTACACTCAATATAATCTATCCATCTTCTCCAAACCAAAATATATCTTTCTTGCGAATGATCCTTCACATAAGCGGAAACCTTTGTGCATATTCAACAAAAAAAAATTCTTTCAATTGATCTCTACATTTCTGTAAATTTATATCATATCTAAATAAATTTTCATTCAATCTCCAAGTCCTTCTGGTCCCTTCTTCAGCATGTAACTCCATCCATACCGGACTATGATCTGACAATGTCCTGGGGAAAATCTTGATATTCTTCACCCTAGAACAAAAATCATTAGTAATTAAAAAAAAGTCAATTCTGGAATAAAATTGGTGCCTGTCCGAAAAAAAAGTAAAATCCCCACGAACGGTCTAAGTCTTGAATTATGTTAACTCTTACCTAGTGCCAATTTAGTGCTGACCTTTAGTTGACTATATTCTTGTGTATAGGCATGAGCAATATAACTGGAAAGTAATATGTTGTCCATTTCTCACCTGACAAATACTATATTAAGCAGAATGAAGAATGCCGTAATGACATTTCGTTCTGGTAGCTGGGATTTAAATCTCATGCCTTTGTTTTCAATGGAGGCCAATCACTCAGATTCCCTTGGAAGCTATTATAGAGTGTTAATGATTAATGCAATGATTTGAGCACTGTAACCAAACACATGAACCTGCTATTGTACCAAAAATAACTAGTTATAGTAAGTAAACAACCACAATACTTGGCAGAAGTTTAAAAGGAACCATATTCCATTATTGGGATGGGGAGAATCCAGTCTACAGCCTGTAAGTGTTTTTAAGATGGAACTGGTTACCTAGACTTTAAAAAGGCACTTGAAAGCTACAACATCATTACAATTTTCCCCTGGAACTGCCTTCCTGCCATGCGTGCCCTCCAGATGTTTTGCCTTGCCCTTGGGAATTATGAAAATTGCAGCTCAAAACCTTTGGAGGGCATTAGACTGAAGGAACAGTTGACAAATAGTCTATTTCCCCTTTTTTCCCTGTCCATTTGATTGCCAGGTTTAGGGGAAAGTTCTAGAAAACATGTCCTTTGTTTCAGAGGCCTTCGTCTTCTGAATATTAGCAACATGAAACCCCTCTGATCATTACCAGAGGGCTGAAAATAGATCTAATTGAAATTCTAAATATTGACATTGATTTCAATGCTCCTAATCCAACCCCTGTCTTGTCTTTGTTTTTTTTCTTCCTGCCTTTTTATTAACTTTCATCTTTGAGCTAGCTTGAACATTGACTTGGAAGGGGGCAATTAATAAAAAGCCTGCTGAAGTTAACTTTCTAAAGAATGGATGTAATAATTAACAGTTTGCAACACATCGTTTCCTTTATAATAACAAAAAATCCTGCAAATCAACAGTTCAATAAAGAACAAAGAGAAATGCTTGTCAGAATCATAAACCGTCTTACTAAATCTTTCTTAGCCCTTCTACTTGTGGGTGGGTGGGTGGGGGAAATCCATGGACATTTGACCCTAATGAGGTAATGGTCATATTGCTAAATTGGATTAAAAGCATGACATTTTAAGAGCAAAATGTTTACCTAAATCTCCCAAATATTTAGAGTGGGAGCAAAGATCCATTGAACAGATACACTTCCTTCCGACGCAGTGATTTAAATTCCGTGACACTGTTTACAAATGTCAGAGCAGCTCCTCCGATGTCCAGGGTCCAGCTGCCTGTTGAAATGAAGCCAATCAAGCTAACAAATTATTGCTGTTTTTTTCTAATGCTCTCTGATTAGCCATGATCTTCAAATAATTCGCTGCTGCTATTGCTGATTGTTGCTGATCGTTTCTAACCTTTTAGTGATTCTTCTAAACTTCAATCACCTAAAGCCTTCGTTTCTGCTTTTGCCTGCTGCTCCTGCTGCTGCTTCCTCCTTGAGAAAAAACAAAAAACTTAAGAAACTTGGATTCCCCAAAAGGACAGGTGACAGATTTATTTTTTTAAAAAAAAAGAAAGCTGTCCATTATGCATCTTAAACAAAGACTCTGGACCCTTGTGTGGTTCCCCCTGTATTTTTTGATCAATGTGTACAGTGCGCTCGTATTCATACCCTGGTATTTTCTTACAAACGTGAAGAAGAAGAAAGCTATGGCGAAGCGCTTAAAAGCGAAGGCCGTCTCCGACAGTCCCGGAAGTCCGTATCGGTCCATTTCACATATGGAGTCCCTAGCCACTATAGACTTTCCTGGAGCGGACACACTGGACAAATTGTTTGACCTTGCTGTGACCAAGTTTGGGAAGAAAGACTGCCTTGGAACAAGAGAGGTCCTGAGCGAAGAGAATGAAATGCAGCCAAACGGAAAAGTATTTAAAAAGGTAAATGACTTCTGAGCACGGGTAAAAAGCACCCTTCCCAAAAGATTTTCAAGAGGCGGGAAAAGATAAAATGTCTTGATTTCCAACAGGACGAGGCGAAGGCTCTAAAATTAGTTCTGAAAGGGAGGCACGGGCCGTCCTCAACGTACGACCACAATGGAGCCCATAATTCCCGTTGCTAAGTCAGATGGTCGTTCAGTGAGTTTTGCCCCCTTTTACGACCTTGCCACAGTCGTTAAGAGAATCGCTGCAGTTTTTAAGTTAGCAACACGGCGATTAAGAGAACCTGGTTTCCCTATTGAATTGGCTTGTCAGAAGGGGGCAGGGGGTTGGACTAGATGACCTCCAAGGTCCCTTCCAACTTTATTATTATTATTAAGGTCACAAAAGGGGATCACATGACCCCGGGAGACACTGCCACCGTCATAACTATGAGTCAGTTGCCAAGCGTCTGAATTTTGATCAGTTTTGACCATGGTGCAACGACGGTAAGCGTGAAAAATAGTCGTAAGTCCCTTTTTTCAGTGCTTTTGTGAGTTTGAACAGTCACTAAATGAACGGTTGTATGTTGAGGACTACTAGTACTATTTCTTAGTTGTCCCATTTCCTTTCAAACTCTTTCCTGTTTGCTCCACATTGGCCATCATGAAAACATGGATTCCGGATGGCCCTTTCCATTGTTACTTTGCTGATACAGAAACAATGCGTTTAATTAATCACACATGCTGCAGCAGTTATCCTATAGATTGGAAAAGGGCCATTATATGATAAAGAGGTTTAGGTGCTTCAGAGGGGATTCCTTTTATTGAACCAAGTGAGCGGTTCACAGAACAGGGAAATCGAGAGTGGCTTGGGCAGTTTCTTAAACAACAATCAAAACTGATCCAGTATAAATGGATTTACATCAGCGGCGGTTAAACCGTTTAGTTTTTATTTTTTAAGTCGTCTCGTTTTGATCTCCTTGCTTTAACGCTAACTGATCAGCTGTTTTAATCTTGACCAGTTAATCCTAGGAAACTATAGATGGCTGAACTACGAAGAGATCAGCCAGAAGGTGAAGCACTTTGGGAGTGGGTTAATGGCGCTCGGATTGCAGCCCAAGAGCACCGTGGCCGTGTTCTGTGAGACTCGAGCTGAATGGTTTATTGCCGCCCAGTCTTGCTTCCGGTACAACTTCCCTCGTGAGTATCAGTGCTGCATTCCGCCTACATCGACAAGGGCCGTAGTCCTGATTCTCTGCAGGGTGTCGCCACTCCTACATTATGTTTGCCCTCAGTGCAACGTCCAGCACAAAAGTGTCTTAGAAACTGGGGCCTGTGTTGAATTAGTGGCACCATTTATACCTGTGGTTCAGATATATCCAACATAGAATAATAAAATGATTTGTTTAAGACCAGTGACTTTATTAGGGTATAAATCTTTATGCCTTTAAATAATAGTCACGACAAAGTAGTTACCTGCTTTTTAAAATTGGGGTTTGGCTAGTCTAAAAAAAAGAAGAAATAGGGGAGACATGATAGCAATGTTCCAGTATCTGAAGGGCTGCCACAAGGCAGAGGGGGTCAGGTTGTTCACCAAAGCACCGGAGGGAAGGATGAGAAACAATGGTTGGAAAGTGTCCAAAGAGAGAAGCAACCTGGAATTAAGGAGAAACTTCCTGAGGATAATCAACCAGTAGAACAGCTTGCCCCCAGAAATTTTGGGCGCTCCACCGCTGGAGGTTTTTAAAAAGAGACTGGACAATCACCTGTCCGAGATGGTGTAGGTTTTCCTGCTTGAGCAGGGGGCTGGACTAGAAGACCTCCAGGGTCCCTTCCAGCTCTATTCTATTCTAAGTATATTGTTCATCTTAAAATTGTTGGTATACAGGCAGTCCTTGACTTAACGACCACAACTAAGCCCATAATTTCTGTTAAGACAGTTGCTAAGTGAGTTTTGCCCCATTTTAAATTGTTGTTGCCACCATTGTTAAGGGGATCCTTGCAGCTGCTAAGTTACTAACCCGGTTATTGAGTCTGGCTTCCCCCTTGACTTTGCTTGTCAGAAGGTCGCAACGGGGTCACATGACCCTGGGATGCTGCAACCGTCATAAATATGAGTCAGTTGCCAAGCATCCGAATTTTGATCAAGTGACCATGGGGAGGATGCCACAGTCGTAAGTATGAGAAAATAGTCATAAGCCACTTTTGTTCACTGTCGTAACTCTGAATGCTCACTGAGCTGTCGTAAGTTGAGGACTACCTATAGACGGAACATAAAATTAACATGGAGTATTTACTGCTTCAGCTGAATTAGTTACTGAGCCACTTACTAACTTCTTGCCTTTTAAATAGTTGTTACACTATACGCAACCCTTGGAGAAGAGGCAGTAACCTATGGATTAAATGAATCTGAAGCATCGTTTTTAATCACCAGCTTAGATCTTTTGGAAGGCAAACTAAAGGTAAATCTTTTTGTCAGCATAATAGTCAAATTAAATACATTTCTAAGATCAAAACTGACTTTCTAAAAGATACTGGGGAATACTGATGGGACCTAACATAATTTAATCTGTAAGGAAACAATCCCTACACTAGGTGTGTTTTTTAAAAATAATATTTGTGTTATGTTGTTGTGAAACATACAGTATATTATTTTGATATACTGGTATTTCTACTGTATTGACTAAAGATTAACATTCTAAAGTTTACTAGGCTGAACTTTGAGTACAGTGGAAAGCTGTAGTCAGTGGCAATTTGCAACGAGACTATGAAAAGGGTGTGTGGTCGTAACAATTATCAGAAAATTGTCAGAAATTAATCATCACAGACAAATAACTCGCCCAGCAGCTATAATTTCTGTACTAAACTTTGAAAACCAGCCATTTTCGTTTGCACGAAACTTCTCTGCTTTGGAAATGCTGTAGCTGTAACAGAAACAGAAGAGCTCTATAAATAAGGTTTCCCCATATTTCGATGGTTTTTGAATAGTCAGAAATAGGAAGAATATATTCTTAAAAAACATTATTACAACAACGGACTTTCACAATCACGAGAAGTAAATGCAAGCCTGTGTCGTGCGTTGCAAACTTTTGCTTGGGTTTATACAATTCAGTAAGGTATTTGACAAAGTAGACCACAACCTACTACTCGATAAGATAGAAAAATGTGGGGTAGAAAGCACCACCACCAGATGGATCCGTAGCTGGCTGACTGGCCATACTCAGTGTGTGGTCCTCAATGGAACCGCATCTACATGGAGGGAAGTGTGTAGTGGGGTGCCCTAGGGCTCTGTTCTGGGCCCAGTGCTCTTCAACATCTTCATCAACGATCTGGACGAGGGGATAGATGGGGAACTCATCAAATTTGCAGATGACACCAAGCTGGCAGGCATAGCCAACACTCCAGAAGACAGGCTTAAGATACAGGAGGATCTGGACAGACTTGAACACTGGGCGCTGTCTAACAAAATGAAATTCAATGGTGAAAAAAGTAAGGTTCTACATTTAGGCAAGAAAAACCAAATGTACAGGTACAGTGTAGGGGGTACCTTGCTCAATAGTAGTAACTGTGAGAGGGATCTCGGAGTCCTAGTGGACAATCATTTAAATATGAGCCAGCCGTGTGCTGCAGCTGCCAAAAAGGCCAACACAGTGCTGGGCTGCATTAACAGAGGAATAGAATCAAGATCACGTGAAGTATTAATACCACTTTACAATGCCTTAGTAAGGCCACACTTGGAATACTGCATCCAGTTTTGGTCACCACGATGTAAAAAAGATGCTGAGACTCTAGAAAGAGTACAGAGAACAGCAACAAAGATGATTAGGGGACTGGAGGCTAAAACATATAAGGAATGGTTGCTGGAATTGGGTATGTCTAGTTTAATGAAGAAAAGGACGAGGGGGGACATGATCGCAGTGTTCCAGTATCTCAGGGGCTGCCCCAAAGAAGAGGGAGTCAAGCTATTCTCCAAAGCGCCTGAAGGCAGGACAAGAAGCAACGGGTGGAAACTAAGCAAGGAGAGAAGCAACCTAGAACTAAGGAGAAACTTCCTGACAGTGAGAACAATTAACCAGTGGAACAGCCTGCCTCCAGAAGCGGTGAACGCGCCACCACTGGAAGTTTTTAAGAAGAAACTGGACAGCCATTTTTCCGAAATGGTATAGGGTTTCCTGCCTGAGCAGGGGGTTGGACCAGATGACCTCCAAGGTCCCTTCCAACTTCCCATCATCATCATCATCATCATCATCATCATCATCATCATCATCATCATCATCATCATCATCATCATCATCATTATTATTATTATTATTATTATTATTATTATTATTATTATTATTATTATTATCTCTCAACTATTTTTGTTCCTCAGAATGTACTGTCAAAAATCCCCTGCCTCAAATACATCATTTATGTGGATAATAAGACCATCAATAAATCAGACTATCCTAAAGGGCTGGAGATTCATAACATGCAAGCAGTAGAAGAACTTGGAGCCAAACCAGAAAACTGTAAGTAGACCAGCTGAAACCCTTTACCACAATCATGTTATGGGGGGGGGGGCTATATGACAAGCAACATTCTAAATCATTTGAAGAAGTTCATCTTTAATTCTGCATAAGAATCCTTTCCTCTTTGGACCATCTTCAAGACTGCTTGGTCTTGCTTCACAATAGTTTTGCTTCTCTAGAAGTTTGTTCTGGACTTGAAAGGGAGCTGAACCAGTCCAAAGGGCTTGGTCTCTTTGCTGCTATGACGAGGAGAGAATGTCCTAACCCACAGAAAGAGTAGCTGTGGCTTTGGAAATTCCATCTCAAATCTCTGCTGAGAAGAAAGTCCACTGTGGCTACTAGCCTTCCGATGAGCAAGAGAGAGATCTTAGCAGCAGCTTGAATTGTGCACGAGGCTGTGCCACGAGGGAATATGTAATCATTGTGTTTTGAGACTTTCTGGAATTAGAGGGTTCTTAACAAGGTGCATCACCACCATCATGAGCTCATTTGCTAGCACTAGAAGTAAAAGTGCCAGATACAGTTTTTTTTTAAAAAATAAGTCTGTCAGAATCCAATTATATTTCATCTCTAGTTATCAACTATGGAAAACCCCATTTCTGCCTTCTCTGGATTCTGTCATACGATGAAGGGAAGGGGGTGAACAAAGGGGCTTTATGGCCCTTACTTCCTTCAGTATACTTCAGAGGGACTGGATGTGGATACCACCAAAAGGACTAACAATAACAATGGGGGTCATTAGCTTTCATGTAATCCTTTCTGAAGTCTCTCCTCCCGGCAGCGAGGAAAAGGGGGTGGGAATGTAATGCCTGGAACTGTCGCTGGAAGAAGGGGGTGATGGGGTGGGGCTACTGGGGGATCCCATAAAACCTTGAATGGGAGAGCTTGGACCCCAAGTCCTGTCTAGAATGCCTGCAACCAGTTTTCTCTTAATAAAGATGCCTGTTGGAAGAAATATTCCAAGAGTTCTGTCTTCTTAAGATGCAAAGTGAGAAACTTAGGGAAGAATCTTAAGCACTTTTCTCCACCATCACAGTTGCTGTCCAACACAAGCCAGAATGAGGCCAGAATGGTGTAATTGACATAATGGTGTCATGATCGCACGGCCATTGTTTCAGTGCCTTGATTAGCTAAGCCCACATCTTCCTTTCTCAAAGGTGATCAGAATTCCCCCCCCCTATTGTCAACATTTTAGTATAATATAGGCCACAAGGCTTATCCCCTACCCCTGTATGCACTTATGCACTTTACCAGTTTTATTTTCTCCTCACTATTATAATCTAACTGTTTTGCCTTCTTATCTTTGTCTAGTCAGCGTCTCTCCCTGCCGCCCTGCTCCTACAGACATGGCCCTAGTCATGTATACCAGTGGTTCCACAGGGAGGCCCAAAGGGGTCATGATGGTCCATAAAAACTTGATAGCTGGAATGACTGGACAGTGTGAGCGAATACCTGGCCTGGGGTAAGCAATTCCTGCCATTAAATACACGCACTTGTTTATAATTCGGTTCTTTCCACTAACAGGGCAGGTGGGCTGAGAATAGAGAGGACATAGCAGGTGACATGTCTATGGAGATTCTCAACCATCCAGCACATGGTTGTCCCAAAGATGCTTTTTCCAAAAGGCAACTGGATTTTCTTGTATTTTTTCTTTGAAAATATTTCACTTCTCAACCAAGAAGTTAGTAGCTAAAACTGAAGAAGCTTCTTGGATTAGAAGCAAAGCATTTTCAAAGAAAAAAACAGTCTAGTTGCCTTTTGGAAAAAGCACCTTTGGGATAGCAGCTGACAGTCCACCAGATAGAAACCCAAGACCTTCCATTCCCTGGTAGATCTTCCCATTTGTGTGCTACCTTCTCCAGCTACAGATGAGTGTTTGTGTCTCGCAAACAGAATGAAGATATAGATTTTGAGCTGGGCCAGTTCTTTTATCATCCTTCCTTGATACTTGGTAGCAACAGCTATTTATGTTAAGAGATTAAATCGGGGATGGATAGTGCCGTGTTCCCAGGAATCTGTTGGACCCATAATAAGGCCAGCAATCCTCCCTTTCCCATTGGTTTGGTGTGATAACGTCACAAACATTGTGTCCCGTGCAAGATCTGAAAGTATAATTGCCAAATCCTCTGAGATTTTTGCCCAACTTGCATAATTTTGAGATTTTGGGGAAATGGGCTTGGATTGTGGTTAGGACACAATAACGTCGGGTACTAGGAGAATTATGTGTTTCTGGATTAAGAGCTTGGATCATAATTGCAATAGCCTTAGCATTTAGGGGCCCTTGGTGCTCTCTGAGCTTGCTTGTTCTGTTGCCGACATTTCATTACCCAAATTAAGTAACATCATCAGTGCTAGAAAGGAGTGAGGTTTGTGGAGATGAAGGAGAATGAGAAGGACTGTGGAGTCCTTGGTGCTCTCTGGGCTTGCTTGTTTTCTTGCAGATGTTTCATTACCTAAACTTAGGTAACTTCAGTGCTGATGATGTTCCTTAGTTTGGGTAACAAAACATCTGCAAGGAAACAAGCAAGCTCAGAGAGCACCAAGGATCCCTCATTTCAGTCCCGAGCTACAAATATTCTCCTTTATTGGAGCCTTAGCATTGATCCATGTTACTATCTAGCTCTTCCTTCCTTATGTACACATCACTATTGTATTCTGCCCAACTCATGCTAGAAAAGTGATGGTGCTCACCATTGCTATGAAGAATATATTCAGCATGTTCAGAACTTAATCAATGACCTATACCTTAAACCTTGGTCTATAACAGGGGTAGGCCACCTTGGCTCTTTTATGACTCGTGGACTTCAACTCTCAGAATTCCTGAGCCAGCCATGCTGAGGGGAAAGAGAGGTTTCCAAGCTGAGCCATGCTGGCTCAGGAATTCTGGGAGCTGAAGTCCACGAGTCATAAAAGAGCCAAGGTCTCTACCCCTGGTCTATAAACTTAAACAGATTAGTCATCAAGATTAGAAACAAATAGATTTATCTCAATGGAAACATTATAGCTTATGCTCTTCTTGATAATTTGCTTCCCAGGATTGTTTTCCACTAATTGAGCAATAAAAACAATAAGGTTAATCTTTAGAGGGGTAAAGATAAGTCCTGTGTTTCTGCTGCTGCAAGTGAAGCAGAAATATGCAGTTACACTGCTCCAGGAGTGGAACAAATGCTTCAGAGCTGTACTCTACTTTTATTGTTCGATTCAAGCAAATCCACAGTGGCCTTTCAAGATTTACTTAGGCCCGTCAGCTGTCCAAAAGTCAAGCAGAAAAAGCATTGATGTTCTTCTTGACTGCTACAACTTGGAGGCTGGAGTGAATTAGTATGTTTGTGCACAACTTATTTCTGGATTACCTGCTAACTTCAAGTCTTTAAGCATTGTACAGAATTGTTTAACGTATAATCTATCAAAGTTTAAAAGCTCAAAAAAAAAATAAAAGGAGCATTAGGGATGATAATGAATCGTAGTAAAGCCTGGCAATAGAATAATGTGGGGTTTTAACATGTCAGAATAGCAAGGGATCTCAAGTATCTGGGAGACAAAAAGACTGCAGGATAAGCATTCAGCAAGGCCCTCTTAAAAGTCCATTTTGTGTAGCAGGTAACATTTGTGTAAGCACCATAGTAACTAGAAAGGACATGTATAAGCAGTGGTGGGATTCAGCCGGTTCTCTCCACTTCAGCAGAACCGGTAGCTAATTTTTGGTTGCCCAGGCTCAGAATGGACTTCCGGAAGCGGCATCCACACAGAGGACCGGTTGTTCACCTATTTGAATCCCACCGCTGGGTATAAGATCTACTAAAGCAGGCTTCTCCAGTCTGGGAGTTCTCCAGCTGTGTGGATGTCAGCTCCCAGAATTCTCTACCTAGCATGAGCAAGTTGAGATCCTTACCTCTGGAGGCCACTCAATTTAGCTGAAGCTGCATTTTAACTCAGTCAGTCTGAGGAGACGTTTTATCAGCCTGAATGTACATTAGATCAGGGGTCTATATTAGACTTCCAACCTTGGCAACTTTGTGACTTGTGTACTTCAACTCCCAGAATTCCTCAGCCTCAACTAGGCTGGCTGAGGAATTCTGGGAATTGAAGTCCACAAGTCGTAAAGTTGCCAAGGTTGGAGGTCCCCTGCATTAGACTACAAGGATTCAGCACTGTCCGGTTAAGAGACAAAAACCCAAACCATGTTCTGTGTTTAGACCAAGATATCCTGACTGCCATATTGAAACAATTTACATTCTCTCCCTTAGACCCAACGACACATATATTGGCTACTTGCCTTTGGCTCACGTATTAGAACTGACGGCAGAAATTTCCTGTATTACCTACGGCTGCAGGATTGGATATTCCTCTCCACTCACCCTGTCAGACCAGGTAAGCCAATGGATAGAGTAAATCGTAAATTGTTGAGGAGGAAAAGTGTTCAGTTAATGCTAAACATTGGACAGAACTTTGTGTGTTTGTTTATTCATCATTTTTTTTATCCCCTACAAGGTGACTCTGCCCAGCTTCAAAGTTATAAGACAAGTAAAAAATTATTAAAACGTTAAAAACTACACAGATTAAAATATTATTGTATAGCCTTACAGTGAGAAGTAGTCTTAAGCTTGCCACTACAGTAATCTGAGCCAAAGTGGCTTTCACAAATAAGGACATCTTAAAAATAGACTCCTGAAGTATTTTCTCGATTGCAAGTTTTCTGTTTTTTTCCTCAGCTTTAAAATCTGATCAGCTCTTTGACCCTCAGGCAGTAAAATACGATAAACGTTCTACCTTTCATTCCTTTGGCTTACTATTTCAATTTGCAAAATTCAGTAGCCCTAAGCATCTTTCCATGGTTTTATTCTTCTGTGAAAATAATTGAAATTAAAATTGGGTTCTCGCTTTTTTACCCCTTCTTTCAGTCAAGCAAAATTAAAAAGGGAAGCAAAGGAGACTGCACTGTTCTGAAGCCCACTTTGATGGCAGCTGTGCCAGTAAGTACCAGTAAGGATGAGATATTTGTGAAACTCTGTGTATTTCACACCGAACATTTATTAAAAATGGTATAAATGTTAAATTTTAAACTTCAAAAAGTACAGTAACTTATTTTTCCCAATTGGTTTATATAGATCTCCCATCTTAGCCTCACAAGTAAAACAAAAAAAATAAAAACCAACCCTCTGCATCTTGGATCTTATAAAATCAGTTGCAGATATGCCTATATCTACAGCTTTGTTTGCTTGAAACAGCTGCCAGTGCTCATATTTCAGAATACATATTTTGGAAATCTGTCTTTCTTTTTGTTCACCTTCCCTCATCAAACCCTATTAAGCGCATCCAGTAGTTAGATAAAATGCAATTGGCTGCAAAAATTTTAATTTATTGGTGAGTGGGTGGGTGGGTGGGCGAAATCTAGCATATAATCTGGCAAGACAACAGATCTTTAGATTATCTCAGTTTTATCCTGAGATCCCCAGATTTTTGACTCATGCGATAAATTCCTGCCACCCTTTTGCTCACATGATGGAGGAAAAAAAAAATCAAACATTCACAATCATTTTCTAAAATAGCTTTTATTTGTTTAATTAAATAGAAAAGAAACAAGCAAAAACAAGAGTTTCTCATACATGGACAGAACACTTTATACAACGGTTTCAATAAAGATGGCCATACTACATTATAATCATCCATACATAATCGATATGTAACTTTGGCATAAGTTGAAAGTAGCGTCAGATCTTCATTCCGCTGATTAAATACGGCCACAGATTTATTTTTTATTCTGACAGCTCCTCATTAAAACAGGTCAAAACGAGAGGGTGTTCAATATTTCCATTGCTTTCTGCCGAGTGCCTACGCAAATAACCCCCAGCTAAAATGGACTGCCAATAGATTAGCCTGATTACATATTAAGGGTTATACAACTAAGGAAATAGCTGTTTAAAATGGAATGAATTGCTCCTTCCTGTTATCCTTGTCTGGGCTGGTCTAAACCAGTTCAGGAATAAAATGTTTCTTAGCTGTTTCCTTGAAATTGTTTGTAGGAAATCATGGATCGAATTTATAAGAACGTTATGAGTAAAGTCCAGGAGATGAACTATTTCCAGAAAACTTTGTTCAAGATAGGATATGACTATAAATTGGAACAAATCAAAAGAGGTTATGATGCACCTCTCTGTAACTTGTAAGTACAGTTGATGTATTTTGGTGTATTTGTTGCAGACATAACTAAGGATTAAATTTGAGGGGGGAAAACCCTGGTTCAACCAGTTTGGACAAACTTTGTCTAAATCCTAACCTTCCCTTCAGGTGTACATTCATTCATCATGGAAATCAATGGTTCTTAAGTGTGGGTTGTTGAACTGCTTTTTAAATTGCTGCAGTGAGATCGCTTATCTTAAAGGGCTTTCTAAGGTAACCTTTGCCAGACTGCTGTTGTTAATATATTAAGCACCAACTCCCAGAATTCCTGGTCAATTACCAGGCCATGTGGGGATTCTGAAAGTTGCAGTCCAGGTTATCTGGAGGGCCTCAGGTTTATCTTTGAATTTTGCCACTCAACAAACCCTTGGGCGAATGCAGAATATCTTATCCTTTAAAAATTCCCTGAACTTCCGGGGAACCTCGGATGAATATGTTGAAATCACCCTGGCTTGTACACAATCAGATTTGAAGTAGACTTCTCTGATCTGAAGGATAGCCATATCTATCATTTTGGGGAGGGGTTAGTCATTTCAAGGAATCAGTTGCAACTTCAACTCAATCTGGGACCTGCAGATTGAAAAACCTGGTTCCTGTTCACTTCTGAACAGAGCAGAAAGCCAGTCAGACCTGTAACGTAGGGCTGAATCCACAACAGTTGGATTAATGGGTATGTCAGGGAGGGGCCCATAGAGAATCATGTAACAGCTGTTTATAAATCCTCTTATTGTGCCCTTTCATTATATCATTGTGGGATTCTTCTCCTTTAAGACTGCTGTTTAAAAAAGTGAAGGCCCTATTGGGAGGGAACGTGCGTATGATGCTTTCTGGAGGGGCCCCTCTCTCACCTCAAACACAGAGATTCATGAACATCTGCTTCTGCTGCCCTGTTGGCCAAGGCTACGGCCTGACGGAAACCTGCGGAGCAGGCACCATTACTGAAGGTAAGGATGTATGGTTAGTTTTTTTCATTGTAAAGGTGTTTTGTGTGGAGCCCTTGGGAAACAGCCTGCAGTGCCGTGTTTAATCTACTCTGCACTTAAATTAAAAGAACTTGAAAAGCATTTGTATAGAAGAGTAGGCAAAGCTGGGGCGTGGAATTAAGCATCTCATCAGCTCAGAGTCATTACATTGCCAAAAACAGTCCAGGTTCAATCCCCCCCCCTTAAATTCTATTGACCCTTATCTGGCGCCCATTCAGATTTGAACTTTAGTTGACCAGATTCCTTGAGTGATAAATTTTCTGAACTGCAACTTAATGTATGGCCCTGATCTTTTGTGCTTGACCTTAATTTAGTCTGCAAAGGATCAGGACCATGCATTAAGTTGCAGTTCAAGATTTATCGCTCAAGCCGAGACAGAAAAATCTAAACTTTTAATACTAAATTGGTGCCAAATAAGGGTCAGCGTGTTTGTGGCCACGTAATAACTCTAAGCCAAGGGTCTTCAAACTTGGCCCTTTTATGACTTGTGGACTTCAACTCCCAGAATTCCTCAGCCAGCGTGCCTGGCCAAGTTTGAAGACCCCTGCTCCAAGTTGATGACACACTTAACTCTGCCCTCAGCTCTGCCTGCTCTTCTCTTACAGTTTGGTTCCTGCCTCACTCCTTGTTTCTTGATCTTTTCTCCCTAGTAACTGACTACAGCACCGGAAGAGTAGGAGCTCCTCTTATCTGCTGCGAGATTAAACTCAGGGACTGGAAAGAAGGTGAGAAAAATCCCATTATTCTAATAGACTTTAATCTGGTTCCATGGCTGAAATAGGAGTAGAAATCAGAGTTGGAAGGGACCTTGGAGGTCTTCTAGTCCAACCCCCTGCTCAAGCAGGAGACCCTATACCATTTCAGACACATGAAAGCCAATAATAATAATAATAATAATAATAATAATAATAATAATAATAATAATAATAATAATAAAAGTTGGAAGGGACCTTGGAGGTCATCTAGTCCAACCCCCTGCTCGGGCAGGAAACCCTATACCATTTCAGACAAGTGGTGAGTTTAAAACTATAATTTTTGTCTCTTAAATCCCTCTATATCAAATATAGTTTACAATGTTCCTACATAAGAACAGTGACCGTGCTGTTACTCAAGAGAGATTGGTTTAAAGTACAATTTTAGGAAGCATTTAAAAATAATGGACATAAATGCCATCTCACATATAACCATTATAGACACAATCGCTTCCTATAAATGCAATTCTGCACTGAAGAAAAGAAAACCATATTTTAATATAAATATCTAAATTGCTTTGGCATTAATATATTTCACTATTTATGTTGGGTACATACTGGAAGCATGATAAAAACAGAGAAAGTATGTGCGTTTCACAGAAAATGTTTTCTTCTCTCAAAATATTGGTCAAAATGGATGGTATAAAGGTACAACTTCTACAGAAATTAACTAGATTGAAAACAATGAGCATGTACCATGCCCTTGACAAACTAGATAAATATATGCCTCTTGGAAAGTTATTCCATCTCTAGGTTTTTCTCAAGACTTTTGACCCACCTCCAGCCATTTTTATTTTTGGGATAGAAAAAAACAGCCCCATCTGGGAAACCTGATTATTTTTGGTCCAGGATCTGAAACTCTTTTCCCCTTGTGGCGTTCTTGTGAGATGAATCATATCCAGGATGATCTCCCCATAGAAAATCATGAATCTTTTAAATCCCTTGGCTTAAGAGGATGATGGCTATAGATACATTGAACTTGTTTTGGTTAAACCAGAGGTAGGCAACCTCGGCTCTTTTATGACTCATGGACTTCAACTCCCAGAATTCCTGAGTCAGCTATGCTGACTCAGGAATTCTGGGAGTTGAAGTCCATGAGTCATAAAAGAGCCGAGGTTGCCTACCCCTGGGTTAAACCAATGTTTTTCAACATTGGCAACTTTACGGTGTGTGGACTTCAACTCCCAGAATAACCCAGGCAGCAGGAGAAGCCTGGGAGTTGAAGTCCCCACCACGTAAAGTTGCCAGTACTGAACAACCCTTGTGATCTATTAGGTGAATCCATTTCCTAATAAATTGCATAAATCTGCTGAGAGAAGCGGCGATCCTGTATTCGCTTGACTCTGGAAAAAAGCCCACTAAATGTAGTGGGATTTATCTCTGAATCAACTTGAATAAGTTAGAATCGTTTGTGTCCCATACATACCTAATGCATATTGTAGATCAGAGATATTTCAACCCTGGCAACTTTAAGACTTGTGGATTTCAACTCCCATGCTTGTTTCCAGCCCCATGCTGGCTAGGGAGTTGAAGTCCACAAGTCTTAAAATTGTCACGATTGGACGCACCTGTTCTCGATTCAAAGGCTTTTTGGTCCCCAAACTTTGTGATCCTGGTTGGACCTAATGCATCCTTGCATTTTACTGCCCGTATGAATTTAGTGACCTAACATAATTAATCAGCATTATCCTGCCTTTCTTTCTTGTTGACCATTTTGGTCTGGTGTAAAGGAATCGCGTAGCCACCCGTTTGTTCGTTCTTTCTGCTTTTTTTTCCAGGAGGCTACACAACAAGAGACTTGCCACACCCTAGGGGAGAGATTATAATTGGAGGTCCCAATGTCTCTATGGGGTACTTCAGAAACGACGAGAAAACAGCCGAAGATTTCATTGTCGATGGCAATGGCCAGAGATGGTTCTGTACTGGAGACATTGGAGAATTTCATTCTGACGGGTGCCTGCAAATCATAGGTGGGCACAATACCTGGTTTGCTCCAGAAAGAGACCTGGCCCTGTTTTTATATTAGTAAGCTCTTCCAAACATGCCATGAATTATACACCCAACAGCCATCTAAAACAGTTGCCTTGTTTGTGTAACGGTCTTCCGTTTTTGTAACATACATTCGCAAAGGTAAAAGATGTCATCTCAGCAATTGGTTTTGCGTGAGAACTGGCATCGTGGTTTCTAAAGTAAGAATGTCTGGGGAATGCTGGCTTGTCACCGCCCAGTCTCTGGCTCCGCTGAGGGTTCCTTCTGAGGGGAGGGGTGTTCCCTCTCTTACTAAGTTTGTTACTATCCCATCCTGTACAGGAAAAGCGGGCGCTGAATTCCAGAGAGGGGAGCTATTTTCTGTGAGAGAAACAGAAAGTTCTATATGCTGTTTGCTTTCAAGTTCAGTTTGTAAATCCCATTCCAATGAGTCACACACAGATGAGTTACTTACTGGAGCAGACTGTCTACTTGCAGCGAAATCTTCCATTTTCTGCTGCTTCAGTGGCTTGGAAGAACTCTGTGCTGCCAAGTGAACACACTGTCTCTTTCTCCTTTTCCCCATTCTTGGTAATCCTGGCTTGTAGAGTTGTTAAAATATAGGTAAAACAGTATATATATATGTCCAGTATATATCCTTTATAAAAGTCTTTTGACTATTATAAAAAGTCAAACAAGGATTAAAACAGATTTAAAAATGGGTTAAAAATAGGTTAAAATGGATTAAAAGTAGGTTAAAATGCAGTGTTAAAAGGTTAAAATAAAAATAAAGGAAAGCTTTTACTTTTGGAGGAGCTCTTTTACAGCCTTTGCTGCCTGTCCACCATCTTCAACTGTGTTTGGTTGTTTCCCCAGATCGTAAAAAAGACTTGGTGAAGTTGCAAGCCGGAGAGTACGTCTCTCTTGGCAAAGTGGAGGCAGCCTTGAAGAACTGTCCCCTGATTGACAATATTTGTGCGTATGCGAAAAGGTGAGTTTACATATACGTGATCTTTCATACAAGTTTCTGAGTTTTTTTTGTAAAAAAAAACAAACATCAACTTACATCAAATAGCTTGGAAACTAAGAATCTCGCACTCCCACTTTCCAACACTGTTGCTCCAGCAGGATTCAAATGGCTGGAATTAGGTAGGCCCATCCCAGCAGGTGTGACACACACATACTCAGTGCTTCCCAACCTCCGCAGCTGAGGGATTCTGGGAGTTGAAGTTCCTGTATCTCGCTCAGGTTGGGAAGCATTAGGTGCTATAAAGTAGCTAAGAGAAAGTTGCCCTATATCAGGGGTCTTCAAACTTGGCCCTTTTATGGTGCCTGGCTGAGGAATTCTGGCAGTTGAAGTCCACAAGTCATAAAAGGGCCAAGTTTGAAGACCCTTGCCCTATATCTTGAGTGAGGGAGCTGACCAGCCTTCAGATGGTGCTGAACTGCGAGCTGCACCTCAGTAATCCAGCCATAGTAAAGGATGCTTGGCATTTCATTCAGAAACCCTTTGAGGGTCACAGAGAGAGGCACATGTGGCTGCAATCCTTCTAGGCTTAAATATTCACACACTGCACAAGTGCAAAAGTATTATTTTGGTTTCTTCTCACCTTTTATTGTCTGTCTC